TGTATACTTAATTGATATACAGCATATGTATACTTAATTGACCCACACCCTTTCCCCGATGGCGCTTTTCAGGGCCGATAAGAACGAATGAATTAATGATTCATTGTAATAGTCGGGATGGATTGGCACCCCATCGGGGAGGGGAGGGGGGGTAGTAGTAGTAATACTCCACGTCGATTCATTAAATATAGTTTGTTTTTTTTCAAGAGGGGAAACCAGTTTTCTTTACGTGCAAACGAAGCGCAGCCCCGTAGCAAGGTGAAGGGCTTGAACCAACAGATTAAAGTCAAGCGTCCTTATCACATTGCCACACTAGTGGCCTTCTATAAACTGCAGGGGAAGATCGAAGGAAGATAGACGAGCAGATAGAGAAAAGAGTAGGACAGGAAAGAAAAATCGTCTTTCTTGGTCCCCTTCTTCTATTTCCTTCCGTTCATAAATCAAACATGACGGCTCTGAGAACGATCGTGAGCTTATGATGTTGACCCGCCTTCTCTGATAAGACACTCACATAATAACTATTGATGGCGTTACTGAACTGCCAAGCTAACAATTGATCAGCGTGTCTTCAGTAACACCGGACACTCACTTGTATCGTGCTGATAATGACATTCGGGAACATTGTAATGGGATATCTTAGGATGTTAAACAATGACAGAGCAACAAATGCCTTGTTAGCTGTCAACTCATTTCCCGTTAGGACATAGATGGCGAATGTCGCAAGGGCAACCTGGAGTGAAAGTGAAATATATTAATCAGTGTGTATTTTTGTTCAAAAAATAAACACAAAAACGCAAAATGTAAAAACGCAACTTGAGATTGTTTATTGCTGGAGTATTCCTCGAGAGAGACGTTCGATATCAACTCTTTTTAGGAGAGCGCCACTTGGCAGGAACACATTTTTGCTTGTAATCCAATTGTAACAAATTGGACGCCGAAATTTCCGCCGATCCTTAACATGCTCGCACCAAAGTGAACAAAAATCGCGGAGTTCTCGCTTTTTTGTTTCTTTGCTGAAAACACATCCCAGTGCGTGAACGGTTACCAAACGGGCGATTTAAAAAGTGCCTTCCCTTGATTCTCAAGCGCTTAATTCACGAGGAACATTGGGAGGCCCTTAGGTAATTCGTATCCAGGCAGTCACTTCCACCCAAAATGGTTCTTTTCAGGATTATTCTCACCACAGACCATCACATAGCAAGATCTACTGTTTCCGTCGTCAAACCATTCTCTGCAAAACATTTATCACCAAAGTAATATTTAAGAACTAACCATAAATGGAGCACATGTGAAGGTAAAGGCAAACGATGCGTTCAAATAAGCAGCATTCTTTAGTTGTTTCAACTCCTTTTTACGAATGTTGAAAACTTTGCTCATGAACGATTTTTCCCATGCATACAACTTTAGAACCTGGAATTAAAAGGAAAGTAAGCCCTCACTCAGTCTTAAAATAGTCCCTGTTTTTAATATCAAGAGAGGGTCAAGATGAGGCATTCCTGCCACGCGAGTGAGATCGATTAAAGGGCTGTGCGGTTCAACCTCCTTTGCGGATAAATAGATGTGGCTTTTCATCAACTTCCAACGCAAACAAAGCGGAAAACTGGATTTTACATTTCAGCTGAAATAGATAAGCGTGCAAATGGAGAGTGGTGGGACTGCTTGAAAGGTTGGTTGAGCCAAAAGAATTGAGTTAAGGTGATGGGGTTAAACACGAAAACCCAGTAAATGGCTCCCGCCACGGCAACGTCACTCTACCAAACAGTGGGAGATTCCACATAATTATACCCAATACTTAGCGAGAGGCGGGGGGAGTAGGGGGAAGGGTGAGGGGAAAGCTGTCTTGCGAGCGTATGTAACATGACGCAAACTAAGAGCAAAAACAAAACAATCAGACATCCGCAAGGGTGCTTTAAAGTTCAAGAACTCCTGCGACCTTGTGCGACCACCCCGAGGTAAATAAATATGGAAACCGCTTAGAACAACTTCTTCGTGAAATGACTAGAATGTAGAAGAGGGAAACTACAGAAGTGATAAAAAGGAAGTAACTAATAATACCTTAATCCCAGCGATGATTTCATTAATGATCTTTATACGCGAGTCTTTCGCTTCCATCTGCTTCACCTATGAAAAATCAGAATAAATCACGTAATGAAGGAGTGATAAATGGGAGATCTCTTAATTTCTTCAACGGGGACGTTCAAAAGAAAATTAAGGAACAAAGAGTGAGAAAGGGAGAACAAATAGGACGCATAGCATTTCAACTGACGCAACAGGATCGAGTTGTGGTGCAATTTTACGAAGAACTGCAGTGAGATTACAGCCTATAAGACTCCTTGGCTCCCAGCTGTCATCCGTACAAATGGTTCTATCTGTAAACATCAGATCATAATTTCTAACAATAAAATTTAATTTGACCTGTGAAAGTAACCATCAAAGTCAAACCTCTACAAGACATCAAAGTTAACAGTCAAACAAAACTTTCTGACCTGCAGTTTTCGCGCGAACTTGGTCACAATGAGATTAAACGGTACCAAGAGAATCAACACTCCTACACCAGCCAGCGTGGACGGACCCATCACGTCAAACAGAAAATACATCGATATTACAATCACAAGGGGCGATGACCACAGAACATTCAAATAAGTTACCAGGTCCATCAACCGCTGGGCATCAACCGACATGAGATTTACCATTTCACCAGCTGTAGACTCCATTCGTGCCTTACTGTTCAGTGCTAGTGCCTAAAAGAAAAAGTGACAGTGTGTTATAAAAAATCATGCATCACCAGTCTTTGTCAAATCTTAGGGTGATTTTTAAAAGTTTTCGTCAGCTTGCATAGTATTACGCAGGATCTCGACACACCGGTGCCAATTACGGAAAAACAAACAACAAACAACAAGCGCCCCAAGTTGCTATCGCTTCGGTTGCCATGGTGGCCCCGGTTTAGGACTTTATTTCGCCAAATGGCGACTTTAAGAAAAGACGAGCTTGAAGTCCTGCTTTTGATGTGCACAATCCAGGTCAAATGCCAAACTGCATTCCTCTTGAACAGTGTTTTATATTGTTTTTTAAATTTTGTTTTTGATCTTTTTTTTAATCTTTTTGTTTTGTTCTTTTAACATTTTGTTATGGTTGCTTTACTCTATCTCGTTTTGATCCTCTCTTTTTTTCATTGTATTTTTAACTTTCCTTCTATGCTGGGGGACAGAAAAGAGCTCTTGTCTTGGCGAAAAACTTGCTCTCCAATAATTTACTGCCACAACTGGACTACACTTGAAAAGGCTAGCCCAGCAAAAGGACGAGATAAGGGAGGAAAATCGTCGGTGACCTAAATTGCTCCATTAGGAGCGAATGGCCTCCGTAAACAAGTAAGTTAATTAGTTCTTTAAACATATATTTACCTTTGCGTACACCATTCCTATGATTGCAGTTCGTATCCTCATGCCGAGGGCAAAAACAATTTGCCAATACTGATGGATGATAAGTGACATTACAACTGACACAAGGAACATGGACAAGGCATACACGTAACCCTTCCATTTTTCATCGCTAGGAATGGTTTTGTCTGCCACATAAGAGACTAACAAGCTGAAACGCAAAATAAAACTCCATCAACAATCCCCTCTCTGACTCTAAATTTATATCATAGGCTGAATTATACACGCGTTTTCATTGGTTCTTATTTATGGTCTATTGGAGGACAGAAACATACACAACGCCAACATTAACAACTTTTCACCTTTTTATTGTCTAAAACTAAAAGATACTGTGTTGCCGTGGGTCTCTACGGTAATAGATCAAAGACGACAAATATGATAAGAACATCAGTAACACGCCTCTGCTCGGCTGGTTCTCATAGGCTTCTCTTTTGTTCTTACCACATTGTGACGTCATCTACTTGTGGGATCTACTACTAACTAGACAAAGAGTAACACGGTTTCGATTTGATAAGTAGACAATGCAGAAAGCCACCGGTAAAATGAAAGCAGAAAATTTTTGTAGGAATTAAAGAAATGCTCTGGATTCACTGACAAATGTTGGCAAGGGCCTACAAATAGAGGAATGTTCACTGATTGTTGGCTTGTTAGCAAGTGGAAAGTGACACATGGAGAAAAGAACATTTAAATCAACCCAAAGGTGTGAACTAGCTAACCATGAACATAGCTAAATGTAAACATGTGCAAAAAAGAGGCAAAGAGGTTTAATTCATAAGATAATTTGTTTATATCAACTCAGTTGAAACTTTTATTGGCCACCGTAAAGAGCCTCTTAGGCTGGTGTTTGGAGTATTAGCCCTGTGTCATTAATTTTGCTCTAACAAAGGGCTAATGCTGGAGAGGTCAGCCTTAGAAACTCCCTATGGTGGCCAAGCTAAATTTCAACTAAGTTGGTAAAACCAAATTATCCTAGATACAAACATAAAATTAATTACTCAGGGACCATGGAGGGGAAAGGGGCTGGCAGGGCTATAGCCCCTGCCACTTTTATTGTTGGGATTTATTTTTTAGGGCTCCAGTTGAGATGGACAGAACATGGATTTTACGACTTGAAAGTAATAAAACGTGTCTTAATTCTCACACATTTGCCTCAAGTTCAAGGCTTGGTAAAGCTGTGCAAGATAAGTGACAAACACTTCCTCGGCATTTGTTTATATTGGCCAGATTTTTTTAGCCCTACCACTTTAAAAAATTAATGGTCTTTGCAGTCCCTGTTACTTTATACATCACACTGCTGGATTAATTACTCACTTTACAAGCTGCGGTTGGACAAACTGAATAACATCGTAGATAAGTTTGAGAATCATTCCGATAAAAAACTGAGGTCCAAACTGATAAACCATGGCTCTGACTAATGAAGGTCTCTTTTTGTCCGTTTTCTTATCCTTTGACTGCTTCTCATCATTCTTCGGAACAAATTCAACTTTAGTTTCATCATTTTCTTCTGTCAATTTATCCCTCTCTTGCTCTTGCTCTTGCTGATCTTCTAATGGACATCTCTTCCCACTGAAAAGTTGTGTATATTGATTGTTACTATAATTATGCCACAAAAGGCATTTTAGATATGCTTAAATATAATGGTCCACATAGGTTGTTAAAAGACTTAAAGGTATGATTGTAAAATAGTCACCAAAATCAAAACTGAAAACAGAATAGATAAATAAAAGTCCTTTGGTCTTTTGGCAGGATTGTTCTGAGGGCACTGAAACATTTGGGATTTAATGAAACTTAATCCATAAAACAAATTGCTCCACTCGCACTTGTTGGATACTAGATTGGTTCTGACTTGGCATTAACAGCCTTGTTGGCTTTTTGTCATCTCATAATTATCCATCCCAGTCACTCATGAAATCACTGTTAATTTCATCCAGCAAGGATTCAGCTACATGTACTATATATAGTTAACATACATTGCACATCGTTTTTCTTCCTTGGCCCACTTCTCCATAAACTTAGGCACAATGTTTACAGACTTGTTATCTTTTCCCAATGCCCACAAATCCTCATCAACCAGAGGCCTCTTAAACCCTGTATAGATCAACCTGGAAGAAAATCACATGGAGTGAACTCACAGGCATCAAAATACATCACTGAATAACACCACATATTTATCAACAAGAGACCTCCATTTTTCATGCAAAATATTACATTGAGTTGTAACAGTTTTCTTGAGAACATTTATTAGTTGTTTTATTCTCTGGCTCTTCTACCCACTTCTGATGTTTTTACTTGGCAGTGTCTCTGTGTCATCTCTCAGACCACCATTGAGAGATATTGAGAGTAAAATGACAAGCAGTCGCTCCTTTCTTGGCAAAGTTTGTCGCATGGGTTGAGAAAGTTGTTATAAAAATTAATATGTTAGCAAGCTGTGCTGAACTTTGGCAGAGGCCCCTCACTAACGGCATAAGGAGGAAAAAATAATTACTCCATCTCACAAGTGAAGTTAAGGAACCACCCTTAACCTTTACAAGAATGTTCCAATGTTCAATAATTCTGCCCTTTAATGACTGTGGACAGCACATAATTATTCAAACTATCAAAAAATCATTTTCACACTTTAGACTCACCCATTGAGCCACCAAAATGTCAATTTTGAAAAGACGTTTGCATTTTGTTCTGGACAAACACCCTAAGAGGGGAAGAAAAAATATATCAAGCATTAGTAAAGTTACATGCTGTTTCAACAAGCATGGGAAAGGATATTTTTTTTGTTTTGGCCAAACAATCCTGTGTATAATTAAACCTATATCAATTAGTATGAAATGGTGATGTGGTTCACAGCTCTGATTTGTACTAACTCATTTCATCTGATTTAATGGTCGCAATGTATTGACAAATCTTCTCATGGCATCCAGAACAAAGCAAATCAAAGTGAGTGCATAAGATCAATGCCACATGAATCAGTCAGTACTATAAAAGGTGTCAAAAATCTGAAATGTTCTGGCTTATATGGGATTGATACCCCTTAGATATTAAAAAAAAATCATGAGACTGGAAAACAACATGAGCAGAAGATGTTCTCTTGTGTATATATATGTCAAATGAAATTATTTTGCATACTTTGGAAAGAAGCTTTAATGGTTCATCTCTGTGGCTGTATATAAGATAGAGTACTTACCCTATTTGTAACATCTTTGTCAACAGGAGTAGCTGGAAAGAACTTCAAATCAACCTCTGGATTGATTAGGTCTGCAGTTAGCTCGACATTGTGGCTGAGCTCTTCTTCCCTAAACACAAAAAACATGCCAACTATTAAGTGAGACTAAAACCATGATGAACATATTGAAGTAAAAGTTTTGGTTGTACTTATCAGTAGGGACCTTATTGAGAAATCAGGATGGTCATGCCATGGAGATTTCAAAAATGAATTCAATTTTTTAGTAAGAATTTTGTGAAGGCTGGATGTTTCTACCATCTCTTACAGGGCCAACTTCAACATAACATATGAGAGCAATGTGGAGTTTCATATGGAAATCTAAATTATTTTCCATTGAGTTTTGGTTCTCGTGCAAATTTTGGTCATTTAATTTTATTGTTCTGCACAGGACAACTAAAAAATTGACAAAGAACCCAGAACCCATCCCAATTTCTGTTGCTGTGCAGCTTCATGTATTAGGGTACTACTGTATATTCCATTATATTACAGGGAATCACCTAGCTGGGGAGGATATGGGGACATCCTTTAAAAAGGATAGGTATATATATTTTTCTGAATGCATTTAAAGAGAGTTCATGTTACTTAGGTATATGGTCAGCATAATTATGATCACATGCAATTAAGTCATTAAATCCACTGATTGGTGTAACAGATGGCTCTACACATGCAGAATTTCTAGTGTTTGAAAATGATTCAAGATTGTACAAGGGAACATGGAGTAAATTAGATCTCTAGAGAAAGATATCTAATTTTATGGGTACGTCACTAATACAGCAGTTTGCTATCTCCAATTAACAGTTTAAATCAGAAATCTCAAAGGCAAAAGAAATAATAGTGAAAGTGTTAGGTTGAGTTAATGTTTGTGTGAGTCTTGTGCTAAATGCATGAGATTTGAGAGCCCACTTGAAAAGTAACTGTAATGATTTCAACCTACTCTTCATGGGTTAAATCATCCTTCAGTGGTACAACACATGTGCTGGGAATGTAACCTTTCTCCTCTTTGTCAACACGTTTCACATACAGCCACCAGCCCACATTCCTTCCAAGAACTTCAAACTTCTCCTTTCGCATGATGGACAGCTGTACTGAGACATCAGGAGCAGTGTCCATTGCCTCTTGTGCCTTGAGGTCATCTTCCTGGTTGGGATCATGTGCAGTCACTGCTATAACTAGAAGATCCTTTTTTGTTTCTTCCCCCATTGTTACATTAGCCTCAGTCTGTACATTCACTGTAACATCAGAGAATGTCAAACAATTAAAATAAATACCAACACCTATTTAAATAAATATTCAAGACATAGATAACTATTTAATAAGGAGTTTGTTATAATCATAAATGACTGAAGAGGGGAAAAAAAGCAATTGATTTACATTCTCGTGAAGTCAAAATCAGTGTTTTATCCAGAAAACACCCCAAAAGACTGCATGAACAACAAAGAGCACAGGTAAGGCTGGAAGACAACCTTGAAAAAAGGTGTATTTTTACATTGTACCCCTTCTGGCATGGTCTGTCATTGCCAGCTACATTTGGATTTTTTTCCCCTCAGGTGGAGGTATTATCAATGAGTGTGAATTAAGACACCCTTACTACATGAGAGAATTAATTTTTAAGTAATGCTACTGTATTAGAAAGTTTGGAGTCTCAAGTCAAGCTAGAGTCAACTGCATTTTTTCTCTCTTTAGAAAATAATTACATTGGACAGTACACTGGTATTGTAGTAGTCAAAAAAGCAAACCTGAAAAAAAAAAAAAAAAGTAAAACAAAACCCAACAAAATTAAATAGCATTACATCTTTAGGCTGACAGGCTTATAACAATTTCGAAATCTAAAATTCGAATTAAATTTTTGTCAATCTTTGTTTTACTCTTAAGTATAATGACATACAGTTCCTGCAATTAAAACCCAATGAAGATGGTCAAGAGAGAATTGAGGCTAGATAGATTGTAACGTATATCGCATCACGAGTCGAGCAATTTCAGGTCGGGAGTCAAGTTTGAACTGCATTTTTTTCTGTCTTCATAAAACAATTTTGTTAGACAATACCCTAACACTGAAACCGTCATATGAAAGCATAACAAAACAAAACGAAACAAAATCAATCACCATTGAAGTAAAAAAAGTTCAATCAGCGGGTGGCTCAACCAAAAGTTTCGCGCTATTTCAAGAGTTAGTTTGTTATTGACCGAGGCTGAATCAATAAAATAACACGCCAGGTGTTTGTTTGGAGTCATCTCTGAGCTAGTTTGTGGTCCTGTTCATGACTAACTACGCCTTTTTTGACCTTGTGCATGTAGCCTGCATTACATAACAACGACTCCACACCTTAATGGTGCTCCGAAAATTTTAAACAAGTGAAACCTGCACTCCACGAGAAAAACAAGAAAAGTTGGACATGATCGTTATGGTGAAACAAACATGTAACAGAACAATGATATCTGTTCTCTCCGCAATTTTGACCGCGGAGAGCATGAGTTAGCTTGTAGCGCTGTTTTTCGATGAGATGTGTAACAGATGACTGTCGAGTGCAAGAATTACTGAGTTTCTCTAATGCTCCGAGTCAGATTAGACGGATTGTCATTGACATAAAACTTGGACGGTGCCTGAGGTGCGTGCAATTAAAAGAGGTCGGAATCTGTGAAGAAAACTCGTGGATAAATTAATGTTTACTTCTTTGAACGCAGCTGTGAGTTAGTCACGTCATGTTTCTCTTTGTTCTCTATTAACAAACGGCCGTGAAAAAAGTCTAAAGCTTATACCTAGGTGTTCTTAAATCTCTAATGCATCATTTTGATATAGAAATCAGACCAAAACACAGAAAGAGAAAACTTAACCGTAAAAAAGGAAAGGTTAGAGTTGTCTCGAACATGACTCGTGACTCAGATTTGACTAAGGCTCGAACTTCTCTACCGTTCGCACTTATCTTGTGGTACGATATAACTCGAATTAAATCAATTAATTCAATCTCTAGCTCATTAACAGAACCATGATAAGGCCCAAGGCGAACGCAAAATGAAATTTTAGGTTGTTAAATTTAATGATGAGTCACGCCATGAAAGCGGTTCAACGGCTCGGAGATCATGCAAATCAACTTTTCCCACCGTGAAATTTTTCCACTTCCACTGATTATCATGATACGATTCTATCAGACTAAATAATACTCGCTATCATTCTGTAATCGCCGGTATGGAAGCAATTTGCAAACAGATCTGACGAGTAAAAAATAATTGCTTCCACGAGAACATCATCAGATCAAGCCAGGTAGCTTCCAAATCCGCTCCCTCATTTGTTTACTTTGAACCTCAATGTATTTCATTCGTACTGGAAGCAGATGGTCCACACAATCATCAAAGCGGTCGAGTAATACTCTTACGCTAACACTCAAGGTTGCGATCTGTCATTTGATTTGATCAAAAATGGAAAAATGTGCGCCAAACGAATGAGTTCGATACTACTAGAGCGAGCGTCCATGTGCAGACTCCCTGCCGAAAAGCCTCTCCTTGTTGCCCTCAAATAAATAATTTTCTGACTCTTTCAAAATCGTCCTAAGTTAAATGCATTGCAGATTATAGCGGTATACTAACCTGTTTTCTCCCTGTTGCTGTTCAGACACAGCAAACCTCAACACACTGGTCAAAGACGACGAAGGGGCCTAGCGAGGGAGTGTACTGTTTTGAACGAGAGTAAAAAGACTGGGTTCTAGAACTTGGCGGGAATACTCTTACTTGGTAAGGGAAGGGGAGGAGAGGGTGGGGTGAGAGGGGTGATAAAGTGATCAGTTTTCGCTGTCACAAACAAAACCCATTTAAAATGGTTGTATCAAAAATAGAAAAATCGTATAAAACATATATAAATATAGAGGCAAGACCGATACAA